ATGTCTTGCAAAATATCCATGTTAGATGTGTAGTTTCTATTTATCTTACTGCTCATGAATCAATATATTTGTTTGATTCACAAAAGGTGTGGGGCTCAAAGTGGAACGAAAGAGCATACTTCAGCACAAGAAAAGTGAAACTCGACCACGATTATCTTTCCATGGCGGTCCTTGTTCAGGAAGTGATAAATGCTGACTATGCTTTTGTCATTCACACAACTAACCCGTCCTCTGGAGATTCGTCAGAAATATATGCTGAGGTATGTTTAATGATGTCATGTTTTTCATCTATTCTTCCACTAATTTAAGGAAACGTATTCACCATTTAAGAGAGACGGAAAGAAGCAATGATTTTGAGGGTGATGCTCTTTTGATATAGGTAGTAAAGGGACTTGGAGAAACACTTGTTGGAGCTTATCCTGGTCGTGCTTTGAGTTTTATCTGCAAAAAACGTGATTTAAATTCTCCTCAGGTACTTTTGGTCTATGTAGTTATCATTCTTATATTTTGTCAAGTATAAGAACATGATAATTGAGACCGTAGCTCCCTTTCCATTCAACCGACCCCCGACCCCCACAAAAAATAAAAATGAAAATAAATTATGGACGCATGAAGTTACCTTTACCAGTGTTAGAATTTTTCCTTATTTGTTTTGGGCTTCTTTAGGTCTTGGGTTATCCTAGCAAACCTGTCGGCCTATTTATAAGACGGTCAATTATTTTCCGATCTGATTCTAATGGTGAAGATCTAGAAGGTTATGCTGGTGCAGGCCTTTATGACAGGTAAACTTTGACATCTCCTCATCAGTGGACATCTTTCATATAGACCCTGATTAGTGATTAAGTACTTATATATACTTATCAATAAGTACTTATCGAAGAAAAAATAAGATAAAATGAATTAATATTCTTCCATAAGCTAAAATTAACGTTTTGGAGAAGTTACATGATTGAACTTCTATAAGGGTTGAAGAACATTAGTTAATTTTAACTTGTCAAAGAAACTTGCTTAATTCATCCAACTTTTTTATTTTTTCTCCTCTAAGTATTTATTGAGAAATTTATTCAACATAACTACTAAAATAAGGGGAATGGATTGTGTACACGTGTTGTGTCATCTTAATGAAATGGTTCTTTTCCCTTTTAATCAATATGAAATTTGAGGCAAAAATCATATTCAAGATACAAGTCATTTCCAAACAAATTGAACATGAAATTTGTCTAGCATAACTTGTCTGGCTTAAAAAATGATGTGTAAGGACAAGAGAGTATAGTTATATCTCCATGCATATTACATTAAGCGAAGTGTATCTCACTTTTCGGTCTTTCTGTTTCATAATTTCACGACGAATCCCTGGGATAAGTAGTATGCATGGAGATTTGAGAGATTAATCTGTCTTGTGAACTCTTCGAATTAATTTTTTGCAACTCCATTTCACGTTTTCTGGCATTGGTTAACTATGTTTCCATTCTGAACAGTGTGCCAATGGATGAAGAGGAAACAGTGGTGCTTGATTACACATCAGACAAACTGATTGTTGATGGTAGTTTTCGTCAGTCAATATTGTCAAGCATTGCCCGTGCAGGAAATGAAATTGAAGAATTGTATGGCTCTCCTCAGGACATTGAAGGTGTCATCAAGGATGGAAAAGTCTATGTTGTGCAGACCAGACCACAAATGTAGACATGTATACCCATGTCTAAGCTACCTACCTCAACTATGTTTATCCCCGTGCAACCCGGCGTTTCAAACGTGCCTGGGGCTGCTTCTGCGAGTTCAAGAGTAAACCTGGGGATTACCAAATTTGGCTTATAGATTCAATACAATTGATACATTAAATTAAGGAACGATATATACGTATATAAACGTAGAATAATGTAAATCAAGAAAAATATGAATGTTCTTATTCTCTCTCTATTATGTTATATCTAAAGTTACTTTGAAGTAATGAAGATTGTAATTTTACTTGAGGTGTATGGACCATGATTATGTTCGATAATATGCGATTGAATAATATGTCAACATTGTTATTCGAAGTACCCTTTTTAAATTTTGCATTAGTTAAAATGATTAGTCTTATGTTGTATTCGATGGTTTCATTAAATTTGATGATATCTAATGATGTCTAGGGCTCAAGTTCAAATAGAAAATCAAAAGGAGTGACTAGGTTTGAAAAAAGAAAACACCTAGTTTATATTGAACTGAGTCACATTTAGTAGTATTTTTCTATGTATGTTTCACAGGTTAAATGTTTATTATAGATAACTAAAATTTATAATGAATTATATATATAAATAAATATTATATTTGAATGTATAAATTATATTCAAAATTTGTATATATAAATATTTTTAAACAAATAAATTGTATTTTAGAAATTAGATAGTCGTTTGCATTCAATTTATAGAGATTGATTTAATTTATAAATATGATAAATAAAATATTTAATTAGTTAAGAAGTTAAAAGAAAAGTTAATCACCTATATACTGTTAATGTAAAGTTTTTTTACACTGACAACCAATCATATCTTTTAGTTGTGTCATGTCACTATAAATACATTTACTTTTAATAATGACATGGTGCAATTAAAATATATAATTGGTTGTCAGTGTAAAAAAAATTTACACTGGTAGTGTATAGGTAATTAACTATTAAAAGAATACCTATAAATGTTCTTATAAAAAATTAGTTCCTAAAAATGCTTTCGTGAAAGATAGTGAAAGGTACTGTAGAAAGAAGAAAGTGGCAGCAGAGAATAACAGAAAGGAGAGAGAAATCTTCAGAGAGAAAGTAAATTACTTTTCTATATCTTCCGTGCCTTTTACGCATACAAACGTGAGCTATATAGTCCAATTGGAAACCACCACACAAACTAATTATAAGCAATTAATAAAAAAGGAATATTACAATTATTCCCTTCTAACAGAATTGCCCTTTCTACGGGAGGAGGGACACGTGACAAACTAATCCTTCAGGTGTTGGGGTTGTTGACGAGACCTCTTGGAGCTACCCTCTGGTGCAGCCATGACAGTAGGGGCATGAGGCAATTCAGTATGGGCCTTTGTTGGGCTATGAGTATCTACCAATGGAAAGGACCTTGAGTCCCTTACATCCCCTCCGGGTTCGAGAAACACCTCGTCCTTGAGGTGAAATTGCTGCTGGAGTTGGTTCCAAGGCTCCCAAGTGGCTTCCTCGAGGAAGACCTTGCCAATGGACTAAGACATGCACCTGTGGGGGATTGGAGGACGTGTCCATTTTCCAATTGAGGATGTCACCAGGCTCTAAAATATGGTGGTTATCCTCAATAACCGGAGGAAGGGGAAGAGGGGCAGAAGGAACGGGCCCCTTGTGAGGCTTGAGCAAACTAACATGGAATACATTATGTATTCTGGCAGAGGGAGGGAGTTCAAGCTCATAAGCCACTGTGCCAATTTTCTGTTTGACTTTGAATGGCCTAAAGAAACGCTTCATCAGTTTGGCGGAATGTGTCCCCGAAACAGAGGATTGCCTACGAGGGCGTAAGCGCACATACACCAAGTCGCCAACCTCAAAATTCAATTCCCTGCGAGATTGGTCAGCAAACTTCTTCATGGAGTCTCGTGCCTTCCGCAAGTTAGACTCGAGTTTGCTCAGAATGTCATTTCTAGTAGAGAGCTCTGACTGAACTGCTGCATTTGTTGAATCCGCGGGGACAATTGGTGGCAAGAGTGGAGGTTTGTGACCATATAACACCTCAAAGGGAGAAAATCCAGTGGAGGCATTGACTGAGGTATTGAAGCTCCATTTAGCCCAAGAGAGAAACTTGCCCCAAAGTGATGGTTTGTGGTGGACAAAACATCTGAGGTACTGCTGCAATGTTTTGTTGGTCACCTCGGTTTGTCCGTCTGTTTGCGGATGATATGCAGTTGACATTCGCAATTTGGTGCCTCTGAGCCTGAAAAGGTCTCGCCAAAACTGACTGAGGAAAATGGGTCACGATTAGAGATAAGGCTACGAGGTAGACCATGGTGTTTGCAAACAATGTCAACGAATAACTGAGCCACACTCGTCGTAGAGAATGACTTCGGAAGCATCCCGAAGTGAGCGGCCTTAGAAAATCGGTTAACAACTACCAGTATAATGGTGAAGCCTTTGGGAGGCCCACGATGAAGTCAAGGGAAAGATCCTCCCATCAACGCGAAGGAGGTGGAATAGGATGCAATAACCCCGGAGTACGCTGCGTTGGTATCTTAGTCTGTTGGCAAATGGCACATTGTTCCACAAACCCTTGGACATCTTTCCTCATGCTGGGCCAATGGAAGTTAACAGCAAGCTTGCTAAGCGTGCGGGAGACGCCTGTATGACCAGCCATGGGGGTCGAATGGAATTCTTGTAGGAGCAAGGGAATGAAAGTACAGGATGACGGTAACCATGTCTTCCCCTTATATAAAATTAAGTCATCGCGCAGCGAGAAAAGAGGGAAAGCATCAGGGGAGGCGGTTATTTTGTCACGCAATGCTGTGAAGTCAGAGTTAGAGTGCAGGGAAGACTTTAGATCGATCAAAAAGTCTGGATGAGACACTGATAGGACCAGAACCCGGATCATATACAGGCGCACCATCCACGCGTGATAAGGCATCAACAACATTGTTAAACTTTCCCGGTTTATACTGAATCTCAAAATCAAAGCCAATAACTTGACTAAGTATTTCTGCTGGTCTGGTGTCAGTACTGTCTGTGTGAGCAGCTCTTTTATTGATCTCTGATCTGTTTGGATAACAAAATGACGCCCCAAGAGGTATTGACGCCATTTTTGCATAGCAGAGGTAATGGCACACAACTCGCGCACGTAAGTGGAAGAGCTGCAAAGCTTGGGACAGAACTATTTACTAAAGTAAGCAACTGGATGCCCATTCTGAGATAGCACCGCTCCCATATCTGTACCAGAGGCGTCAGTTTGTACAGTAAATAATAAATCAAATTTAGGTATAGCTAAAACAGGAGCAACAAGCAGTGCATTCTAAAGCCTGTCAAAGGCCTGTTGTGCGCTATCAGACCAGTGGAAATTGTCCTTCTTGAGGAGGTCCGTGAGGGGCTGTGCAATTGACGCATATCGGGCAACAAAGCGTCTATAAAACCCTGTGAGACCGAGGAAACCGCGTAGTGATTTGAGGAAGGTGGGGGTTGGCCAAGCCTGTACTGATTCTAGCTTCTCCGGATCAGGTTGGACTCCCTCATTCGAAACTACGTGGCCCAAGCATTGGATGGGCTTGGCACCAATAGAGCATTTGCTTCCTTTCAAACGAAAGGAGGTGGAGAGTAGGAGTTTGGAGGCAATTTCCAGATGAAGGACATGATCCTGTAAAGTGGAACTGTAAACTAATATGTCGTCGAAGAAGACAATTATAAAGCGGCGGAGGTGAGGGCGGAACATGTTGTTCATGGTGGCCTAAAATGTGGATGGTGCATTACAGAGGCCGAAGGGCATGACTTTGAATTCGAAGTGGCCATTATGGGTTCGGAATGCAGTCTTCTCCGAATCGGAAGGGGCCATCAAGATTTGGTGGAATCTAGAGTATAGGTCCAATTTAGAGAACCAAGACGCATTGCCCAACTCGTCGAGCAACTCGTCTACGGTAGGAATCGGGAATTTATCCTTAACAGTGACAACATTAAGGGCCCGGTAATCAACGCAAAAACGCCATGTGCCATCCTTTTTTTTGACGAGCAGTACCGGAGATGAGAAGGGGCTAGTGCTTGGTTTGATGAAGCCCAACTCAATCATTTTCTGAACTTGTGTCTCAATCTCCTGTTTCTGAAAGTGAGGGTAACGGTAGGGTCTCATAGAGATGGGAGCAGTGTTTGGGGTGAGGGTGATGGTATGATCAGTGGTTCGGGAGGGGGTAGGTGTGTAGGTGTAGAGAAAAGTGAGGAGTACTGGTGGATGAGGGAATGCAAGGGTTGTTGCGGGGAGGAGGGAAGAAGGTTGGTGGAGGAATTTGAGTTAGATTCGGTGGGGTTGCTGGGTGTGGGTGTAGAAATTGGGGAAGGGTGATGTGCTAAAGACAATTGGAATAAAGCTTCAACTCTATTTGTGCTCTGCAAACGACAGAGCTGATGGGTCGATATTGGGGATGGGGTTGGGCCTGGATCACCCTTTAACTCTATCAACTTTTCATGCCACATGAATCTCATAAAAGGCCCGTTATAATCCATGACAAAAGGGCTGATCATGGAGAGCCAGTGGACACCTAACACAACGTCGGTCCCTAATAGCTCTAGTGGGTAGAGATCCACTGAAAATTGTTGTTGATCCAAAAAGAGAGTGATTTGAGGGCAATATGAAAAGCAGGGTAGGAACTCCCCATTTCCCACCATAACTCTTAATGGGCTTGATGTGGGACGAGAAGGTAAATGAAGAAACTGAGCCACTCTACTCTGGATGAAGTTGTGGGTTGATAGACCCTGTGACCCTAAATGTGCGTGGTGTCCATTGACCAGAGAATGCATGGAGGCTGATGAGACCCGCCTCTTGTGAGATGTCATTAGTAATCTAAAATTCCTCCGTGTCCACCGCCTCAAGCTGCTCGTCTGAATCAAAGGTAGTGAGGAGGAGGAATTACGGTTTGCACCGGTGACCACGGGTGTACCTTTCGTCGCAGTTAAAGCAAAGGTTCTTGTCCCGATGGGCTTGCATTTCTGCTTCGGTCAATCGTTTGATGGGGAGTTTGGTGCTTGGTGTGGGTAGGAGAGGAGGAAGTGGTTTCGGTGTGGTTGATGGAGGGAGAGTGAGGGAATGTGATGGGACGGTGGGGGGGTCGAAACGCGATGGAGGGAAGGGTGGGGGGCGGTGTTTATCGTCATGGAGTTTGGCCAGTGCTATGGCGGTGGGCAAATCTGGTGGTTGGAGGGCTGTCACCTCACGACGAAGATGAGGTTTGAGGCTGGAAAGGAAACAACTAAGATAGAAACTCTGTGGATAATCAGAGATCCGGTTGGCTAAGGTCTCAAACTCAGAGAGGTATTCTTGAAGCCCCTGAGTTTGTGTGAGCTTGCATAAGGCAGCAATCGGGTCATCAAATTTGGATGGAGAGAAGTGCAACTCCAAGGCCCTCAGAAATGCATCCCAAGAAGTCAATAGGCCATTGTTAGACATCCATTGAAACCAAGCAAGGGCCTGCCCTTCAAGGTAGAATGAAGCAAATTGAATGCGTTGGTCCAGGGGGGTCTGATGGAAGTCAAAAAACTGGTTGATCTTGAAGATCCAACCAAGGGCGTCTGTGCCATGGAAGGTGGGAAGGTCAAATTTGAGGGGTTTGGAAGAGGGTTGAGGGTGGTTATGAGGTTGGTTTTCAAGAAGGGTGGTGCGGTTGGAGAGGTCATGGAGGGTGTTAGAGAGGTTGGCGTGTGAAAGAATGAGCTAGTCAAGCTTAACGTTGAGTTTGGTGAGCTCATCATGAGGTGGTGTATCAGCCATGGTGAGTAGGGACAACGAGAGCACCAGTGAAAGGTACTGCAGAAAGAAGAAAGTGGCAGCAGAGAATAACAGAAAGGAGAGAGAAATCTTCAGAGAGAAAGTAAATTACTTTTCTATATCTTCCGTGCCTTTTACCCATACAAACGTGAGCTATATAGTCCAATTGGTAACCACCACACAAACTAATCATAAGCAATTAATAAAAAAGGAATATTACAATCATTCCCTTCTAACAGAATTGCCCTTTCTACGGGAGGAGGGACACGTGACAACATAATCCTTCAGGTGCTGGGGTTGTTGACGAGACCTCTTGGAGCTACCCTCTGGTGTAGCCATGACAGTAGGGGCATGAGGCAATTCAGTATGGGCCTTTGTTGGGCTATGAGTATCTACCAATGGAAAGGACCTTGAGTCCCTTACAGATAGCCATTAACATTTAATATATGAGTTGATTTTAAATTACACATTTGTTGAAATCGTGATTGAGTATACCTTTGAGAATTCTCTATGCTTTATTAAAGTTTTTATATTGGATATATCATCAGGTTCTAAATCATATAAATTTGGCTTTAATATGGTGATACCAAATCTAAGAAAAAAGACGCTAAGAGCATCATGTTTTATGAGTTTAGAACATTGAATTTGGTTAAACACACTTGTTTAAAAACATATGTTAGAGTGAACTTGTGGAGAAAAGAAAGATATTAAAATGTGGGTTTAATAGTGTGAATAAAAAAGTCAACATTTTTTCTTTGAAACAATGAAGTAGTATAAAAAACTTTATGGATGCAAACAAATAGTCAAGAAAAAATAATACACTATTTTTATATTGGTCTGTCTCAATCACTGAGACTACGTCTAGTTCTTGATCAATCTAATCAATTTTTACTATCTTTTACAAAGATACAAATATTCTTTCACAAGTCACTTTTAGCTTAACTTAAGTATTTTTTGACTTGTTTCTTCAAGCAACTATCCACGTATTTTTTGAACAATGAAACCTATCCAAACTTCAACGATCAAATATTTTTTTATAACGATCAAATATTTTTTTCTAGGCAAATCTTTTCAAGCTCAAAGACAAAGTTAAAGTTGGGAAATTACTTGTTGTTTTGTCCTACTATTAAGACGTGATGTAACCAATTTAAGTATAATGCTTTTTATAGAAAGAATGCATATGAATTTTTTACAATTGTTATTCTCTATTCCTTTTGAGTCTTTTAAAACTTCTTTATATATGTGTTTCATAAAGATGATTGTTGCAAATCATTGAACATTTCGTACATGCTTGCTTCGTCTGTCTTTATATTCCTTCTTTTCAAGAAGAGATGTCCTTTGGTTCATTAATTGTGAGCAATAAATGTTTTCACAAATGGCCACCTCTTATCTAATCAAGAAAGTTACTTATCACATTTTTTATACCAAGTGGTAGGAACTATTGCGTGTGTTAATCACAAATGACTTTTTCTGAGATTTTGCCTATTTTGAGAGATTTGTTTATCATTATTTAATGCAAAACATGTTTTTTCATTTTTGAAGTGTGAGTAGCAAATAAGCTTTTTATTCCTTTCAATCTATTAAAGAATATCATAGTCAAATATGAACTATTAAACCTAAATTGGTTTAATGATGGGTCTGATTTTGAAAACATTGTAAAAAGTGATATAAATTCATGCTTGAAAAATTATATAACATCATACGTTATTTATAAAATTTTACATGTAGAATTAAATTATTATATAAAATAAATAAATAAATAAAAATAAGTTAACAAGAACTTTTCTTATTATTTTTTATCAAAAATATAAAATAGAAATAATGTGACAAGTGGGAGGTCAAACTCCTTGGGGCCTTGGCCCTATCCCTCTTTTATTTGGGATTGTGTATTAAGTGAGACGAAAATAAATAGGGCTTTTATGGAAAGGGGCATGGGTTAGTCCCAGGGCCATGTGCCAAATAATTGATTCCTCTAGGTGAGTGTTAAAACATATTTCTCGAGAGTTCTTTCTAAAAGAGTAAATATATACTTTAGGAAAGTACTTTAGGGAAGAGTAACTTATTTTTCTTTCGAAAAGTACTTTTTAGAAAGGTATTTAGAAAATAACTAAAGAAAAAAATGATATGGAAAGTGTATTATATAATGGATGAAGGTGTATTTAGTAGAAACTTTCTCATGAATGTAGTGCTTATTGATAGTTTCTGGTTATTTATCCTATGTACAATATGATTGCATGCATATTTGTTCAGTGCACGAACCTCCTCATTCAAAACTTCAAACAAATCCTAGATACATAAGTTGTTTTAAAAGATCACTTTCTTTCATTGATTATCGTTACATTTGGTTTTAACCTATAATAATGTCATTTTATCATTTAGAGTCATGGTAGGATACTATATGTTCAAGGGTTCAAACTTAAGGAAAAAGATGTATTGAGTCTCTCTTAAAGTAAGCTGTTTTAATTTCAACAATGATATTTTTTTTAAGGTATTTTGTTTTGAATTACCATTATTATTGAAATTATTTTTATATTCTTGTTGTAGTCTAATAAATAACCAAGAAACTATTAGTGCATATACTATGTAATGAAGACAGTGCATACTATTGTTAATTCACACATAATAACTAAGTGAGTTGAAGTAAATTTTACAATTTTAAAAATTATTAGCTTAAGTTGTCATTTTATTATATGTTTTATGAATTATTTACTAATTTTTGTTTTAAATTCCCTTAAATAATATTTATATATCAAACACCATTATTGTATGAAGACATAAAGATCATTAGAAAGTAAATGTACCATAATTCTTCTTGAGCATTACATTAACTAGGACTTATGTTTTTTAATTTTACACATGTTTTATAGTTTAGGTTGTATAACATTATTTTGGCATTTTACTTAACTTATTATGTTAACAAATATCTTACATGCATTTAAAACTCTTTCGATGATATTAATGGATGACATTTAGTTTTAATGCTTCATTTGTATGTAATTTGGTTCATTAAGGAGTAACATAGAAAATATAAATATTTTAATCCATTGAAAACTTATTAATTGACTAAATATGTATATGAATTACTTAGTATTGTTTGATTTGCAGGTTTTGTTTTGGGATCGTCCCAAAACAAACCTACCATTTAAAAAAATTGTCACTTTTAAAATTAATTATTTGATAATCGATTTTAAAAACTCAGACTTACAAAATTGTCTCTTTTAATATTGAGCAAACAACCGTTTTTAAAAGTCATTTTTTTTACTAATACTAGAAAATACTTTTCTGGAATAGTAAATTTATTTTTCTTTAAAAATGTACTTTCTAAAAAAAAAGTATTTAAAAAATAAATAAAAAATGATATGGAAAGTTTACCATATAATGGATGAAGTTGTATTTAACAAAAACCTCACTTAAATTCTCACCAATAAGCCCAACCTAGTTGATTGCACTAAATTATGTATTATAGTATGAGAAAAAGGGATATTCATTAAGAATGTAAAACAACTTTTCACAATCATCCAATCATAAACCACTTATTATAACTCTCATGGATTTTACAATAGTTATATTAAAAATCATATGATGGGTGATTTTTGATTGATTAACGGTATAAATTTTTTACAACGACAACAAAAGTTAAACAATAAGTCAATAATTTGTAACAAAAATTTCTAAGCCATCCATGAACCATCAAATATTTCATAATTTATATTTATTTACTATTTAATACTGCATATTCAAATCATTACCTATAATTAGATGCAAATTTCGAGTGCATGGAAGCATTGATAGTTTACATGAAACAAAACACTCCAACCACAACACCACTAAAACAAAACACTCAAAGCACAACAACACAAACAAAATACTGTCCATATACAATGGACAACCCTCAGCAATCAGCCCCTAGTTGCGATACTTTAATCCACACTTGGTTTAATCGATCCGTAGTATTATGAAAAGAAGCGTTGTATTGGGCAATAATATAGGAGCTGGTATCTTGTATTTTCACTGAGTGCTTGTTGAGGGAGGTCACAAGAGCTTCAAATTCTTTGTTAATGTTATCATCCTTCGCATACCCACTAAACTTGCGAACTGCGAAGCACTGAGGTTTCCATTTCTCTATGCCCAACTTCAGTTCAGGATTGGGAGTTGGAGGATTGCCCTCAAAGTGACTTGATATGAACATTCTTACAGTGTAGCCATCCCCAGGGGGTGACGAGGGCACACTCGTTAAGACTGGAGCAGTGAATGCAATTTTTGAAGAATCCGAATTGGCACCATGAATATATTCATACAATCTGCAGTGCATGATTTTGAATAATTAATTAACAAACAAAAATGATATGTTACATAGAAAATTATGTGAGATTCGTTCACTGAATTTTAGCTGTACACTACAATAATAAAGTATGTCCAAAAAGAATATATATTATTCAAGAGTGCATTACTGGCCTGCATTTCTTAAAATAAAAAGCACGTTATATTATAATCTTTCTGCAAGATATGAGAGTATATATTTATTTCATGTAGAGTATTGTTGCTAAAGTAGATGCAAATATCCCTTGATTATAGCATAAATTCTTAGACGCGTACGTGTTTTTATATTAAATTTCTAAAGAGTAGAGATATAGAGTGTATGTAGGCCCACTTAATTACATTGTACTATCGAATTTTCTTTTATCAATGAGAAGAATAGAACAATAAAATTTTTGAGTAAATCCTTTTTTTATCATGGTGAAAGTTCTCATACCTTGTCATAAGCCTTTTAAGTAAAAATACATGAATAGTTTTCAGTTGTATATGCATTATATCGCAATATAATTGATCAAAAATCTTATAAATATATCACGTGTATGTATTGTCCCAAAAAAGAATTCAACAAAAACAAATTGTAAGAAGCAGACTGGAATGATGCAATGGTGTTTAAGATATAATTAAGCAGAACTAATATGGTATAATATAATTAACATTTGTATATATACAGGTCTAAATTTCTCATATATACTATACAGAAATACAAAAATTAAAAAAAAAAACCTGTGAAATCCAGTTTTAGAGGCCTGTTCGAAGGATGTTCCAGAAACACGAGCTGACATCCATGAGGATTCATTGTAGAGTCTGATCTGAAAATCTGATTCAGACAATATGATTGTGTATTTTGGCAATTCAATTGCGCTTACTTTGGTGCCACACATTAGCATTAGCATTAGCATTAGCATGGACAAATAATAAAGTAAGTGCAGCAGTGTTGTTTTTGTTTCCATCTTCTGCTAGCCTCCTCTTACTAAACCATGAGTCCGCTTTAAATAGGAAGAAGCAAGAGAGAGAATAAGTGGGGGTGGGGTTTCGTTTTCGTCATTATTTGGATCTATACAATGATTTTAGATGGCATCCAAATTGGTTTTAATTTGTTGCTAGAATTTCCCAAATATCTTAATTAAGAGTGGGGGTGTTAATGGGTATGGTGTGATATTATATAGTATTCTCTCCTCTAAAAATAAGTATCGTTTTAAGTTATCTTATATATAATAAGAAAGTTAATTAATAAATAGTTAAAAAAAATTATAAAATTAATTTTATGACTAATATTTTATTAAAAATAATGTAATATAAAATCAATTTTTTACATAATATTATTAAAGATATAAATGAAAAAAAATGTGCTTAATATTGTATTAATAAATTAATATGACATTTTTTTTTTCTAATGCAACATTTATTATGAGATAAAAAGCATATTTATTTTCGTAATTACTTTTGAAAAATTATCAATCTCCACTTTCATGTCCATTGAATAGTAACTTAATAATAACCTTTTATATATTTAACATAATCATTAGAAACTTTGACATTATTTTTTTTAATATATGAATAGAGTTATAATGATGACGTCAATGAAATTTTAATTTTAATTTCTCATACATCTAATTTAACCTAATCTATAATTTTATATTATAAATTGTAAAGAACATAAATAGATAGATTAAATTTACTTCATCATTAAAATTGAAATTTTCATATTTGTGTAAATGTGTTTATCTCTCAAGTTAAATATTGTTTTAGTCTAATAATATTTATAAAAACTAAAATATGACAAAAACACTAAAAGCAACTCCAATGGGAGTTACTTGTCCCATAAAACAACTCAATCCTCGATTTTTTGTCATTGGAGGACTCTGACGTGGCAATATGAGTTACTTGAAGAAGAGACATAATTGTTTCTTCAAACAACCGTTCCTTACAAGATTTCAAGCAGATTTTATTGAACATAATTTGGAACGTTTCGGAAATAATAATAATGATGAAAATTAATTTCATATAATGTTTATGTATTTACTATTGCTTTATTTTATTTTTAATATTTACTTATTGTGTATTTTTTCTCGTAATTTATTTTCTTTCATTGTAGTGTAATTATCCTTTTTGATAAAAATTTAAATTTGATTCATAAATGATTAGAAAAAAATTCTAAAAGTTGAATTTCTTAAAGTTTCTTACCATTGGAGTAAATTTGTGTTTGAGTTGCTTAATGCTAACATGGCACACTGGGGACCACTTATTTCATTTTTCAATGCATGAAGTAACTCAAATCTGTTGCTTCTATTGGAGATGTCCATTAACTTATCTAAAATAACAATTAAAAGTACGAATAAAAGATAAAATAATTGTAACCGAATAAATAAAATATTACAATACAATTTACGATTTTAGGTTAAGATTTTATGTTATAATATAAGATATTTAAAAAAAAATTATACATAAATAGTGAGATGAGTGCGGGACACAATGACTATTATACCCATTTTAATTGAATTTTGTAAATAAATTTCCATTCATGCCTTTATCTCCATTATGCGAGTATTTACCTTCTGCATTTAGAATATTTTTGTGAATATTCGTAAGACTTGAGTACATTTTGTTATCCTTAACTAAAATCATTTTCGACACTTTACTTATAAGCAAAAGTATTATTAGATAATCAGATCATATAATCTAAATGAATTTTTATATGACACATAATTGAGTATTATTTTTTTAAAATTAAAAACTTTTTTTTACATAAAAATTAGTCGAAACTATATGAACATAGTGATCCAAGACGTCTATTAAATAATTTTTGTTCTTAAGAGAATTTTTAACTCGTTCTTGTACATTCTGCGGTACAATGTCATATCATATACTAGACTTCTTAATAGAGGTTTTAACTTGCTTTTTTTGAGCACTGTAATTAATTTCACATTTTTATTTTAGATAATTTATTTGTATTATATTTTGAAATAATAAATAAGTTAAAAATAACAAAAAAATCAAAATACTATTTGCGATAATAAATTATAGAAATAATTAATGAAAAATACATAACATTTTGTTAATAAAAAATAATTGTCATCTGATGTGTACTTCGTTTTTTTTTTAATTTTTTTTAATTTTTTTTTTTACTTTACTTCATTTTCTTTGAGGAGCATGGTGCCCAATTTAGAAACACACACATATTAATTTATTTCATTTAAAATGTTACATGGTGCTCAAATCTTCTGTTTGTCTCTCTTCTGATTTCATTTGGTATGTACATTGGGAAAAAGTGTAAACACTAAGATATAAAAATAATTCTCATATGATGAGTACTTCATTTTTTTAAAATGTTACTTTATTTCATTTTCTTTGATGAGCATGGTGCTCAATTTAAAAAGAAAAAAAAAATACAGACACACATTAATTTATTTCTTTTAAAAACGAATGTTACACGGTGCTCAAATCTTCTGTATATCTCTCTTCTTCTGATATCATTTGGTATGTACATGGGAAAAAAGTGTAAACACTAAGATATAAAACTATTAGATACTAAGTATATGCTCTTGTGCTCTGATACTAAACATCTTTTTATGATGTAAATATGAGCACGGTAATGCTTTTGATTTATTTTTATTTTGTCGTTATTTAAATCATTAATTGCTATTTTATATGATATTATACCTCTCTCTTGAAATTAATTTACGATAAAATAAAAGTATATGGCATATCATGGATGAAAACCCTCTATAGTCTATAGTTTCACATGAACTTTATGAATGGGAGGCAGGCATCATTTTCAACACTTGGATGACCATGTTTATAGTGTAAATAACGATAGGATTCTCGAGGGACACGAAATGGAGAGAATAAGTGTTGTGACTCGTTACATGACCCTTAATCTTTATCAATCCTAAAAAAATTATAATTTTCTTCATTACACAAATCATTTACTATGAAATTATGTAACTCCATTTTTAAATACTAACCATTATTAAGTAAAATGAATGCCCCTTTTTTTCACTATCCGTAGCATAGTAAATAATAAATAGGAAGAAGATATGTTTATGAGGTAAAGTTTATTCACCAGTGATTTCATTTCTTCTGTGAAGAGCTTGATTATTGGGAAAAATTCAAATCTCACATCGACTAGAAATTAGGCAATTAAATAGTATGTTAGAAAAGAATGACACAATTCAAGAGGGGGGTGAATTGGATTCTATGACCCTTTAAAAATTTCAAAATATTTAGGATTTTTATTTCACTTAAACTTTTCTAAGACTGAATTTTCAAATGAAGCTTCTTTAAAGACTTGTTATAGAAGAATGAATTCTATATGCTTTCTTGATTACAAAAATAATGAGGTTCAAATGTAATGCTTTAATTCAGTTTAAACCACCAATATTCACACACACATGCTAATCAAGAATCATCTTCTTTAATGTACAATCAAGATATTACTCATAGTAAAAGATAAAGGTAGAAGAAGATTGCACAAGTCTTTTATCCTGGTTCAGCCACTCCACATGTGACCTACATCCAGTCCTCAATCAGAACCTGATCAAGATTTGTTCCACTATCTTAATGAAGAAGGTTTACAAGCATATCACACATGCATATACTTCAACACTCAAGATAACCACTTTCTTGACCCCAAGAAAGCACTCCTTGTAGAAACCCACTACAAGAATCCTTACCACTTGAGAAACCCTTCTCAAGATTTTACAAGTATTCACAAAGAATTAAGGAACGAATTCACCTGGAATTCAGAAGCAAATCTTAATCTTCCCCTTTCAAGAATGTGATGATGATGATGATCCTTTCTCAAAGTTTTTCACAAACGTTTTTCTTCTTGGATTCACAAAGAAAACTCTCCAAGATGGTCACAAAGACTCCACAAAAACGCTTTTCTAAATTTGATTATCAATTCTAACTCTTGTCTGAAGTTTCTAAAAGTTCAAACTATTTATAAAAGTTTCAGACCCAGATAATCGATTATTTTAAAGAATAATCGATTATTTTGTTCTTCAGGTTTTCTGGAAACCAACCAAGAACAATATAATCGATTATTTTGCTGGATAATCGATTATTCCAGAGAGTTATTTCTGGGATAATCGATTATTTTGCAAATAATCGATTATTGCAGCAAGGCATCCCATTTTTTCTGTTGCTGGAATAATCGATTATATTTAATGATAATCGATTATTTTGAGTTAGTTTTCAAAACTTCGTTTTAAGTCTCAAAATAACTTTTTAGTCCCTTTAACTCATCATCATACACTCTCTAATCAGTTTAGATATAGATTTAGCTTATGCACACATCACACACAACAAATAAACTCATTCAACACAATGTACATACTAATCCCTATTACATAGCACTTTCTTTGACTTTGTTTTTGTCTTCTAAGTTGTTGTTGTTTGTTGTTGTCCTTGACACACATTTTGTGATCATCAAACTCTCTTAAGCTTCAGAGATAATCTTGATCTCATCAAGTTCAGGCTCCCCTAAGCTCAACATAGTATATAAGTAGAAAACAACCCTCACTTTATAAGCCGGTTTTGTAGGGTTGAGTTAGGCTTAATTCACTATTCTAACATGGTATCAGAGCCATTTAAATCCACTTTAAAAATGGGCCACCCACCATTGATGCATGCCTTATAGGCATGAGGGGTGTATTGGGAAAAACTCAAGTCCCACCTATCCTAGATCATTAAAAAGGGCTACCCACCATTTATCCACGTACCAAGCCCAATAGTGCTGGACGTGAGGGGGTGTATTGGGAAAAACCCAAGTCCTACATCGACTAGAGATTAGGCAATTGAATAGTATAAGTGGAAAGCAACCTTCACCTTATAAGCCGGTTTTATAGGATTGAGTTAGATTTAATTCACTATTCTAACATTGATGGAAGTGTATTTAGTTTTTATGTACTGGTTTTGATGATTTTTAATGCCTCACTTCTTGATAATGTGGTGACATGTAAG